AATGCTGGGACTGTAATTCCCCTTATCTGCCTGCAGCATGGCCATCTCGAGTGCCTCCCGGGACTCCTTTGCAGCTCCCTCCCAGCTCCTCTCCCAGCAGTGCCCTCAGGCTTTGCTTCCCCATCCCAGCTCAGAATTCTGCTCTTTCCTCCGGCTGGAGAGGGACTGGCTCTGCCCAGCATTGCTGCCAGATCAAAGCACTGCCTTGATTCCTTGATGGCAGCTATAATCTGCTCCACGTTATTCTTTTTACTATTCCTTGGCCTTTCTAAGACCTTGGTTTCAATATTAAAAAAAAACAACTAATTGCAGACATCCTCCCCGGACCATGTCTCGGACATTGCAGCCAAGACCAGCCCTTTTCCCTGGCTAGGCACATTAATTCAGGAGCAGCCTGGGTGGGAGACTGGTTCAGGTCCCAACACTGAATGCAAGCACAGCAGTATTTGTTATCTTCGTGACAGAGCTGTTTCTTTAGACCTCACTTGAATATATTTTCTCCTGATTTTTCCTTCCTGATAATTTGAGCAAACAGTTCTCAGCCAGATGCTTTTCCATACACTTTGTTATCAGTCTTGTAGAGTTTATGGACAGGACATCAGCTGGAATGGCTTCATCCTGCCCTTGTCCCCACATGTCCACAGCATGGTCAAGGTCAACCCAAGCTTGGAGTCTGCTACCACAGTGATGTCCCTGAGCTGAGACCTTCACCTTTCATCACACAGCTGTCACTGCCCAAAAATGATTGTCCCACACACCTTTCCTTGGCCCCCTTCCTGCACTTTCCTGGGGCCATGCTGACCCAAGTTCAGGATGTGACCTTCCCTGCTGCACAGGGGTCCTCCTGCCAAGCACTTGCAAAGCAATACAGACATCAGATCAAAAGATGCTTCCAAGCAGTTCCCAGGGTAGTAGGAACAAGGAGGTCTGCTTCAGGGAGCAACACTTTTGCTGCTTGTGTGCCTGCACTGCTCAGGTGAGAGGCAAATGCCCCTTGGCTGTGCAGGGGCTGATATTTTCCTCCTGCAGCCCATCTCAGTGATGCCATGGTGGATACTGTGCCCTCAAACCAACCCTGACATGCCTCCCCGAAAGATGGCACTAGCACCTGAGCATTTACTCTCCAAGCTAGACTCTCTCCAGTGTGCAGCTTTTGGGGTCTCTCTGCAAAGGGGCACACGAGCCTGCAGGTGGATTGCCAAGGCAGAGCATAAAGCCCCTTTCCCTCCTCTCCCCGGGGCTGGCTGCCTGTCAGAGGTGTGCAAAGCCCTCCTGCTGCTGGCAGATCCTCCTGCATGGGAGGGGGGCTAGGAAAAAATGTCAGCTCATCATTTTCAGGGAGCAGGAGTGGTGTTCTGGTAAGAGGGAGCGGGGCTCGGTGCGGGCCTGCGGGATCGATACGGAGCTCAGAGGAGCTCAGAGGCTCGGGTGGATGGCAGAGCTTGTGATGACTGAGCAGATATCCCACGGATCTCTCTCTGGTCGTGCCCCCAGGGGCTGTGGTGTTTGCAGGCCTCAGGAGGCAAGCAGGGCATCGAGCAGCCTTTACCTGTCATGCGGGGTGGCAAGGGGAAAATTGTCCCCAGGGGACAGCCAGCCTGAGAGTGAGAGGTTAAAGGCAGCTCTGGTGGTGGGAAGACTAGAACCAAAAAGCTGCCTTCACCTCTGCCTGTGCTCAGGAGCTCCTCAGGCACTTCCTAGCCCTGCTCTTCTGTCTGGGATGGGTGTTTCAGTAGCAGCTGGTGTCCCCATGCAGAGGGCAGCTGGGATGGGGCAGAGGGGGAGCTCTCTGCAGAGGAACTTGGGTCTAGTTTTGGCCAAGTGCATCCCATAAAACTTCCAGAGGCTCCCAAGGGCCAGAGGCAGCCTCGCCCCTGAGCTCCTGTGGGGCAAAGTTCTCACGGGAAGCACTGATTTCATTCTTCATGGAGATGCTTCTTGAAAGAGCAATTTGCCAGCATCCCTCACAGCAATAACAGCAAGGCCTCTGCTCGAGATACCATCTCTGTGCTCTGACAGCCCCATCACTCATGCCCTGCTCCTGCCTCCCTCTTCCACAGGGACAGGAGTGAGGGATGCAGGCAGGGTTGGAAGCAGTGATGACGTGTTCTCACCAGGGGCAGCTCCCAACTATCCCTGTCCTCTTTTGGGTCTGGGTGTGCAAAAGTGAGCACTGCCCTTGCTGGGCAGCAGCTCCTCTCTGTCCATGCACAGGTGAGGGGTGCTGGCTTTGAGCAGGGCAAGCAGAACCCAGCTCTGGTGCTGGGTGAAGAGTGGTGGCTCGTCTTCCCCTTGTGGCAGGGACTTTGCTGTCACTGCTGTCTCTTCTTTCAGAGAGCTCACCAATCCCCCAGCAGCCAGCACCAGCAAGAATGAACAACCCCTCAGTTTCTTTCTCCTGCCCTCGGGCGCCCAGCTGGGTGCTCTGCTGGTCCCATTCCCCTGCTTTGCCTGGCCACGTTTCCTCTGTGAGAGCAGATTTATGTTGGTGGCAGAGGCTTGGCACAAACCTTCCCAGCAGGATGAAGCAGGGCCTGACACCAGGTGGCAGAGTGGGAAAGTCGTGGGGGTGGGTGGGCTCCTGTGCCCCCCACACCCAGCACAGCCAGGACAGCCTCTCCCCAACTTTCTGTGGGTCACACCTTGGCTTTGCAAGCACAGGGCAAAGCTGGTCACTAGATCACAGGGGAGCTGAAAGCCCCTCTGTGTTTGGGCTTTGTTAGCAGTTGTACTCTGCTCCAGGCCAAGGGGTGACCCACGCCCTGGGGACAGAGGGACACGGTGCTCCTGTGTGCAGCCCCGGCCAAGCAGTGCCACCCTGGCACCTCCAGGTGACAGCACGTCCTCCAGGTGACAGTGGCTTCCTCCAGGTCCCAGTGCTGATCTGCCCACAAGAGAGCCTTGCTGTGTTGCAGGACTGCAGTGGGTCCCCAAGGTGGGTGTGTGCCCCCGAATGTCCCCCCTCTCCTGTGACTACCCCGTGGTGACATGCCAGGATATGCTGATGGCCTCCCACTGGTTTTATATGGGATGGTGTGATTGGTGCCAGCTGCCACAGAGAGTCTGGGACCTCGCACCAGCTCCAGTATAAAAGCAAGCCCTGGTGTCATCCTGGGCACTGGTTTTGGGGACAGGGTGACATCCTTGATACTGCTGGGGGATGAGCCCATATGCTGAGTGGGCATTGTGGGGTGCCTGGTGCTCCCCATGGGCTGGAGAATATGACATAGTGCCTTCCATCAGTGTCTTCTGCAGTCTGGTCACAGGGCTGAGCCACAAGAATGGCTTCTCTCTGATACAGGTGGGGAAACTGAGGCACAGAGTAGAAGATATGCCTGGGTGTTTCCCTCTCCAGTGTTCTGGATGGGAGATGCTTCTCATGGGAGTGGGAATCTACAAAATTCTCCCCTGTCCTCCTCCTTCTTGCAGTGCCAGGCACTCCAGTGACCTCTTTTGCTCCAGGTGTTTCACTTTGCTAATTCAGAAGAGGTGGAGCTCAGAGAAAACAGCCCTCCCACCTCGATATTTCTTCTCTAGCTCAATACACCTGCTTCCCCTAGGAGCCCTGGCAGGACCAGCCCTGGTGAAACTGCCTGGCACCCCAGAAGACCCCGTGGGAGCAGGACTGATGTCCTGGAATGAGCATCCCCTTGCACATCTCTGCTATTTCCAGGGCTTCTGAGGTGGCTGGGCAGCAGTGGGTGAGGACTTGCCCAAGCAGGAGCCCTGCCCGTGTCCCACTGGCACAGGCTCCCTGCAGGGGGGCACCGGTGCATGAATCCCAGCTGCAAATCCTCAGTGGAGTTTTTTCCCCTCTTTCCCTCCAAATCCTGGTGCCCCTTCTGGAGCAGGATGGTTCTGGGTGTGTAAGGGAGCCTGAAGGTGTTGGCTCAGCCAGTGCTGTCTCTCCTCCTTGTGCAAAGCCCTGTGCTGGCAGAAGTAGACCCTTGAAATATGTGGAGTCCTGCACCTGTAATTCCTCCCCTTGCCCGTGCTCCTGCCTGCAGCACCATCCCTTTATTGCTGTGTCTCTGTGCAGAGGAGCAGAGGCATGAAACTATTGGGGAGAGGGAAAAAAAAAAAAAAAAAAGGCATGCAGGAAAGCGCTGTGGAAAAGCAGAGCAAATTAAGCAGAGCTCTGATCTGCTTGGGTTTGTGCTTGCCAAAAATGCACCATGCATCTTAATTCGCTCTGCTGTTCAGCTCGCACTCACTGCTCTCCTGATGCCATTTCGGCGCTCTGAGCTCAGCCTTTTCAACACTTCAGTCTTCCTCTTTCAGGATTTTTTTTTTTTTTTTTTTTTTTTGCATGTCTGATTGCAGAATCTGCTGCAGGAGGGAAGGGGGAAGCCAGGGGAGGGAGGACGGGAGCCCCGACCGTGGGTACTCCTGCCTGCTCTTCCCGGCAGCCGGCTTGGTCCCCAATGTATTTTTTAGGGGCTGGGGGGGTGGTGTATCTTTTCTAGAAAGTCCTTCCTGGATGCTCTTCAGTCGCTTTTTTCACACCCAGCCGTCTGATCTGCCTCTCGCTAGGATCCTCCGAAGAAGAAGAAGAAAAAAAGACATTTAAATTGCTGTAATCCACACTGGCTTTTATTCTCTTCCAGTTCAGTTTAATCTCTTTTTCCTCTCCACCCTTATGTCCGGGTTGGGGGAGGAGGGGGGGGAAACCCACCCAGCAACCAAGCGAAAGGCAGCATCGTCCTCCAAAAGAGCTTGAGAAAGCAGGAGCCGAGCCAAAGCCCCTCTGCTCTCCCCCACCACAAATTTAACCCCCGCTTCAACTTTTCCTCGGCTCCCGGGGCTGAGCTGGGCTCCAGCAGTGGGGTTTTTCCCCTTTCTCCCCCCTCTCCTCCTCCACTGATTTTAGCGGAGAAGGGAGGGGGGTGGGGAATCCTTTTTATTGCGGAGCCCAGTTCTCTTTGCAAGCCTTCCTCCTCCTCCTCCTCCTCCTCCCCTGCTTTTTGTGCCCGCCGCAGCAGGGCTGGCCAGGCCGGGGGAGGGAAGAGATGGGAAGGGGAGATCGCCCCCTCCTCTCCCTCTGTCTGTTTTTTTTGCAGGTGTGTCAATTTTAATTCTGCCCAGTAGGTGGGACTTGGTGACTTTCGCACCGTTTTTTGTTATTTATTTATTTCCCCGGCTGCTTCTCTCTCTCCCTCCCTTCCTCCCCTCCCATCCCTCCCTCCCCAGCCTCCCGTTGCGATCCTCCGGAGCGGCTGCGGGAGCGGCGGGCGGCCGGGCCGGCATGCATCCATCCCCGCCCGCGGCCGCGGCCGCTGCCCTAGCGGGAATTACAGCCTCTCCCAGCCAGCTGCCAGCATGATTTCATCTGCTGGAGGATTTTTGCAGCTGATCGCTTGAGGTTTTGTTGTTGTTGTGTTTTTTTTTTTTTTTTTTTTTTTTTTTTTTCCTCCCTCTGTCTTTGTTTCCTTCCCCCTTTCCCCCCCTTCCCCTCCCTCCATCCCCCCTTTCCTCCTCCTCCTCTTTTTTAGAAGCAGCAATCGGAGATGGATGTCTCTCTTTGCCCTACCAAGTGCACTTTCTGGAGGGTTTTTTTGCTCTGGAGCATTTGGGGAGACTATCTGCTTTCGGTGCTGGCTTGCCCTGCTAATTGTCTTTGCAGCAAGACAGACATCAATTGCAAGAAGCCGGATGATGGGAACCTCTTCCCTCTCTTGGAAGGGCAGGATTCAGGCAGCAGCAATGGCAACGCGAGCATCAATATCACGGACATCTCAAGGAACATCACTTCCATGTAAGTGGGGGTCCCCCAGGGCTCCCCTCCCGCGGCAGGGTGCGGGCTGGGCTGCCCGTGCGGGGCTCAGGTGCCCCCGGCATCGCTGCGCTCTCTGGGCTCAGCCCGACTCCCCGGGCAGAGGATGCAGATCTGGCTTTTCCCTTACACCATCCCCCCTGAAAAAACCCATAAAAAGCCCAGCAACAGTTTGGCCAAGGCTTAAGAGGAATAAAGTAAATGAGATCTAATTCCTTAGCAGGAGAGAGAGCAGCAGGCGAAGATGCTAAAGCTGCTGCTTCCTTTAACTGTTGGCTTGTGCAAGGGGAGCGCGGACGCCACAGCCACACACCACTACATATTTATCCAAATTGGGCAAGAAAAACAAGTTCTGAACTGTTTTCTCTTTCTTGAGACTTAGTATCCAGTTAAAATGTCATTATTTTTTACATTCCCACATCGGAAAATGCTCCCTTTCCCTGCCCTGGCCGAGTGTATCTGGGGATATGCGGTTTTGCATTTTTAAGAGGAGAAAAAAAAAAAAATAGGACAGTGCGATGTCCCTTAAGTAGCTTATTTAATTCACATCGTTATAATTTTGTAACTTGCCGTGGTGCCACGATAGGATTTGTGCGTTTCAGGTTCGGGGTGGTGGTGGTGGGAGAAGCATCGGAGTAGCGAGATATTTTTAGTTGAGCACAGTGCGTTTGTTTGCATGCTTGTTTATCTGGAAAATCAACTAGAAGTTGCATTATCCTTGTTTGGAGAGGCAGTTAGCAAAGCCCATGTTAATCTCATCAGTGTGGAGTCAAGAAAAGAATATATTTCCTTCTTCTGAATCCATCATGCTCTGTGTGTGTGAGGGGAAAAAAAAAAATTCCTCATTGCTTCCAATCTCTGCTCTTTATTTTCCAGTACATTTTTGGGTGAGATGAACTCTGAGCCATTTCATTATTCTAATGCTAATTGAAATGTGAGCATTTAGGGAAATGTAGCCCCCAGAGCAAGTTGCCAGTGGGAGTTGAGCAGAGAAGAGGTGGAATCCTTTATTCTGGCAGTTAAATGCAGCAAGGTTTGAAATGAGTAATGGAGGGTTATTTATTTAATTTTTTTCACCTCGATGGCATGGTTGCATGGAGGCAGAGGGCTTTGGGTCTCTTCCTGAGGCTGTTTTATTTGCTCACAGTGCAATTGCAGCAGAGCCATGGAGTAATTGCAGTGCCTCTCTTGCAGCTCTGCTCATCACCTTTGCTGGGTAAAGATGACGGGAGCTGCTTCCCCCGCTTGCTTACGGGTTCATGTGATGCCCAAGCAGGTTTTCAGCAGGTCACTGACCCTGAATCCACAGCCCTGCCTTCCCCTTCCCAGCAAACCTCCACACAAACAGCAGGAATGGGGAAAGTAGATGGGGGGAGCCAATGGAACACTCCCCTTCCAACTGCCCCATATTTATCCTGCGGTGCTGGAGTGTTTTCCCTGTGATGCTGGAGGGATGAGGGTGATGCTGGGGAAGTCGGAGAAACTCGTGTTTTTTTCCCTGTGCTCGCTGTTTGTTGTGGTTTAGTTTTAACCCTTTGAGGGGCGGGGAGCAGCAGGGAAGGGTTTGGGAGCCACCAGCGTGAGCGACTGTGCGTTGTCAGATGCACAGACATCTGAACTGCTGTGAGAGGTAGTATTACACGAGTGCTTTGTGCCCAGAAAATGTCTTTACTTCTTTGAAAATGAAAAATGCTGATAAGCAGTCCATAAAAAGGAGTGGGGGAATAGAAAAAAACCGAATGGACAACTCCAGAAACAGATATTGGGTTTTTTTTTTTTTTTGGAAAGGAGCTGCTTTTAAGTTGGGGAAGGAGAAGAAGGTGCCAGTTTTTGCTGGAATTCGTATGCCTCTCTGCTTCACACTGAGCAAAGCACATTCCTCCACCCCCTGCATCGCTGCTGGACCTGTGCCTCCCTTTTTGGGCTTGGGAGGGCTGAGGCACAGGGCTGGGGTGAGCCCCAAAATGCTCTCAGGGGTGAGGCTGTGCACGAATGAAAACTTTCCACAAGGCTCGTGCTTACAGGGAAGGCAGTGGTGGTTTATAGGGGATATTTCTGGGAGCAGAGGGTTGATTTATGTGAGAGGGAGGCTTCCCAGCAAAGGGATCACTGCTGGGAGCCAGACTTGAACCATGTTCATGCTCTTGTGCAGAAGGCATCAGGTCCTGCACCCTTTCAGGCTGATGTCAGGCCTCTCCTTGCCAGCCCTGACATCATGGGTGTTGGGGTGAGGGTGCCTAGGAGCCCAGCCTGGTCATGGCTGAATCACTCCTGGCATGTGAGTCTGATTCAGCTGGGCAAGAACAGTGTTTTCCCCCTGCCTGCCATGCTCACGGGGGACTTGGCCTCGTTAGGCAGCTTGTGGGCAGCCAGTGGGCAAAAGCATCTTCTCCCACTGGGCTGGGGGTGAGCAGGGGGGCTCAGTCCTGTGCCAGTGGCTGAGGGATGCAGTGCCCCAGCTGGAACCTCCCCACAGGCCCCAGGGAAGGTGGTGGTCGCTGCTCCATCTTGTAGCTGGTGAAAAAGCAAATGGAGAGAGGGGTGGTGAAACAACCCTGCGACCAGGCAGAGCCATATTCACATCCAGAAGAGAGTTCAGCTTGCAAATCAGGGCTTGAGTGTTGCTGATGAGAGATTGCCAGAGCCCATTCAGAGAGCTGGCTTAAAAAACCAATATGAGCCATCTTGGAGGGCTTGTCCATGTCACCCTCTTGAGGGAGGGCAAGACCCCTCCATGCCAGCCCACCCCAACCCAGCACTGGGTTGAGCTATCAGGAGCTTTGGGTCACATCACTTCTCAATGGCTGGTGAGGACAACAGAAGAGGAACAGGGGACAACCAGACTGTAGTGCTGCCCAAGGAGGATGGTGGGGCAGGCCAGCCCTGTGGGTGCCCTCAGCGTGGTACCCCACCATCGAGCCACCTGCTGCACCCTTCAAAGGAATGGCCTTTGCTTCAAGTGGTCGTGCTTCTGGCTTCCCACACATCCTCCTTTTGGTAAAAGTCAGGGCTGGGTGGCTCCTGCCCTGGCTGGGCTGAAGGGGACAGTAACACACCACCTTGCGAGGCCAGGTGGTGCCAGGTCAGTAGTGAGGCAGAGAAAGGCAGGAGGCTCCTGCCCTGAGATGAATGAGGAGGAGGTTGGGTTGGCTGATGCCCCTCTGCCCTTTCCCAGCATGCCCAGAAATGTACCTGATTTTGAGTTGCATCCCTGAAAACACGACCCTGCACACAGATCCCTGTGAGAGCTGCCAGCAGCCCTGTCCAGCCAGAGAGCCAGCTTGGACCCCAGTTTGGAGTCATGCTCTGCACTTCCCCCTCCCAATTTCAGGAGAGGCCACCATGGGGTCGGGGCATGTCTATGCCATCGCTGTTCCTGTGAGCTGGGTGGCCTTTGCTGTGTCCCCAGCCAGGTGTGACTTACAGAGATGCTCAGCCCTGTGACACGGGGCTTTACTCATTGCACGACCAGATGCACAGGCAGAACTTTGATCCCGGAGCTCCTGTGGCACAGAACCCCTTCCCCTGAGCAGCTGGTGTGTTTGTCACGGTGGGGGGCTGGCTGGCACGCGGGGCTGGCTGGTGTTGGGGTGCCAGGGGCAGCGGGCCGGGGACTCACCCCGCTGGCAGCGTGGGCAGCGCCCGCGTGCCGGCAGCGCGCGTGGGGAAGGACAGACGGAGGAGTTTTGCCATCTGGGCCTCCCTACTTCTCAGCTGTTGCTATGGCACTGTGGAGATGCTGCTAGGCAGGCGGTGGTGGCCGGCGTGTGTCACCCCTGGGCTCCCTCGAGGTAGGGAGATGTCCCTGGTACAGAAAGCCTCTCTCCTTACCCAGCCTCGCCGGGGGAGAGTGGGGGCTCTCATGGTGAAATACACTCGATGGGTGGGCAGTCAGGGTGTATCTGTGCAGCTCGGAGCTGCTTTCAGCAAGGTGAGATGAATTCCAAGCAACCCAAGAGGAGGTTGAGTTGCTCCTCTGTGGAGCACAGTGGGAGCAGGATTTTTGGGTCTTGCTGGCAGGGCCAAGAGGAAGCATCTTGCTCTCCTCCATAGACAAGAGGAGCATTTTCATTCTTCCCCATCAGGCTGTCCCACAAGTCCGTGGCAGCATCTGCTCCATGCCGTGGGCCTGGCCGGGGGTGGGAGAGCCACGTCAGCGCTGGGAGCTGTGGGGGGAGCGCAGCGCAGCCCCCACTCGCTGCGCGGGAGCTGCAGCATGTGGAGAGGGGGAGAGCGAGGGGGTGCTCGGAGCAGCAGCACCCCTTCCCTGCTGGTGCAGGGAGAGCTGAGGCACAGGGAATGCTCCTGTGTGCCTGTGTCTGGGAAGGAAGCAAGAAAGAAAGGGCAGGCCTCCTTCTGGGAGGGCTGGAGGGACCAGAACTTGTGTTGGTGACCCAAGCAGCCATGAGAAAGTCTCCTGAGATGCTCAAATTATTGATTGCTCTGCTTCAGACAACAGGCACAAACTTTTCTCCTCCCTGTGAATCAGCTACGTTGTGCCCAGTGTGCCTTGTGTACTATTACTCTCCAGAGACGAAGGGCTCTGCATTCCCAAAGCCTCCCATCTCCTGGTCCCAGAGGCTTTGGCTGCTCCAGAAATGATCAAACAGGTCCCTAATTCAATCCATCTTGGATTTGCAGGGCTCTTGTTCATGCAGAGAGTCTACCCTCAAGGATGTCAAGATGGGGGAGGCGGGCACAGCACCAAGCTTTGAGGACAGAAAAGGGTGCAGAGATATTTGGGACAAAGAGTTGGGCTGAGATTCATGGTCTTGATGCTCTAGAGGAGAGTTAAGCCAGGAGCACTGGTCTGTATCCTCCCCCTTTCCTGTGGGCTGGCTCTTGGCTCCTTGCCCTGCTCTGACTGTCGATCTCTCTGTTGACCAATCCTGGGGAGAGGCACTTTCTGGGCACAGGCGATGTCAGGTATTTCTTCAGGAAGGAGATAGTTTTGGTGCCTGCCAGCGCTTCCCAGACTTGTT